TTTGCAGTGTTATCGGCATATTTAAGTGGCCTACATAATAACTTTGATAATGCAACAAAATTATTTTTAGATCTACCTGTTTTTATTTTAGTTCTACCTGTATATCTAATCATTATTTAAATCGCAAAAAATACTTTTGTTGAAATATTTTAAAATTTAACCAGCTACAGATTTGAAAAAAACGTCGGCCCACCAAAATGTTTACATAGGACATTAAATTTGTTGCTAAAATATCAAAATCTTTGGTAGCATCATCATTAAACATCCTACATAAAATAATTTTGATCCAACAAAAATTATTTTCTCATATCTCTAGTTATAATTTATAGATACTGCAATGAAACCGCTCTTTCCGTATATCTTGAATAAATCATTATCATCGATCGGAGAGATTACATCCTGGATACATGTGGTGGATCCCCGGTGAAAACCTAAAAATTGAGGGATGTGCAGGGTGCATAATCGATCCAAGGAGAAGTCGAACACGCGTTGCGCGCGAATTCTGTGATACAATAACCGTTGTATTCAACCGATCGATTTTGATTAGTAGTAACACCACCCCCGCGGTTTCACTGTCGTCGCCTCGATAACGTACGCACCGATAAGCGACAGGGTCTGCGGGGGTTGCGCTCAGTTTTCAGCACGATAGTGGCTATGGCTACTCTGTTAATCGGATGGCTATAAATACAGGCCGATCGGGCTCCTTTGCGCTCCTTTTGTAAGTTACAGGTGCCGTTTTGTGCGATAAAGTTAAAAGCCGATGACGCAAGAGGTCTTTCGCAAAATTTTGCCAAGGTTAGCGATACGTCCGTTTATCATTACTATTTTAGCTAATAAGCATCCTTAATTTGTCACTCGGCCCCATTTTTTTTCGTTGATTCTCCTTCAAACATCGGAATTCGCTATTCGACCTCGTTTTTTATTACGCTTGCGTTCTCCTATTTTGCTTTCCCGCTTGCGCTTCGCCTCCGTATTCCGCCAATCGATCTCATTAATTAGAAATTTTATGGTTTCGTAAGCGTCACTTTGAAGATTGTGGGAGGGATACAATTATAGCGGAAAATTGTAGAGTCGCATAGGGACGAGCGAAAGAATAATATCGGTAAACGCCATTAACATATATTCGCGCTACATATTCGCGGAGGATATAATTACGATCTATAATTCCATTTGTTATTTCTTTTACTCCTCCGCTTGTTCCCATTTGTATCTTTTGCCGAAAACTTTTGCGACTTTGCATGGCTCGAGGACTCGAGACGAGATCACCACAAATAATAATATCAGATTTACGTGGATAGTTCGGATATCTGAACTATTTATGGTGTCCTTTGTCGCTATTCTACAACGATATCCATATCTGAACTATTTATGGTGTTCTTTGTCGTTGTTCTACAACGATATTCATCGTTGCCATTCGGTTAGTTTCTCCCTATCTTAAATTTGTATTTCTAATCAGTTTTTCCTCGGAGCGTACTCTAGTAGCGGAAGAGACCGAGTCTCTGGGCCGATTCTTCTACGAGCGATTACCATGGCGCGCTCTCGTTAAAATGTTCTTCCATTTCCTTCAGCTGTGCCCGCAGCAAACGCGCTATAGGGGCCGATAAAAAATGTCCTGTCGACGCCTGCGTTAATAACAGAGACGCGTCGCGCGTTCGTACGCGTCGCGTGGCTTCCAAAGGCACAGGTAGCAAACAGTCTAGTTGAGCTACGCACGACTTTTTTAAATAATTTTGCTCAATCGCGTAATTACGTAACGGTGACTCTTCCTCGCTACTTTGCTCCTCTCCGGGATTATTTATATATAGAGAAGGCAATGTGTCTCGAAATGAGTTTAATAAATTAATTTTCATTTAATTAATCGATTATCCATTTATATTCCATGCATAAACATCTGCGGTTTATCGACTTTTATCGCTTACTTTGCCTCCGATCAAAATAATTTTGTTTCTTCTTCCACAGAAACAATCTTGCTGAAATATTTAAAAATTTGATCAGGTATAAATTTAAAAATAATTCGGACCGTCGAAATAATTAAGTGGGATGTACAACTCGTTAAAAATTCTAATTTAAAAATTTTGCTATTTTTATGCTCAAGCTACTTAATTATTTCGATGGGTCAAAAAAATTATTTTCAAATATATATCAAATTTTTAAATTTTTCGGCAAAACCGTTCTTTCCGCGTGGGAGTAGCCTTGGGAGTAGCTTCAAGTCTTGGGAAAAGCACATAAAAAATGCTCGTGCATTTTCGACGTGGAAAAATATTGTGCATCACGAGGTGACCGTGCGTTTTGCAGTCCTGGTCTTTTTATAAAAAAAAAAATAATAAATAAATTTCTGGACCACGCAGAACCCACGAGGAGCGAGACACGCGTAGAACGGAAAGCGTTTTTTCGGGAACATTCCGATCGTGTCGTGACACTCGAGAGGGAAGAGGTGGAGGTCCTCCTGCGAAGTGTACTCCGACATGAAATCGCGCGTATGCAC